TTTCACAGCGCATCCACAGCCCTCTTCTTGCTCCTTTGCCATCACATTTCTTTCTTCATAGGTTTTCTCTGCAATAACTGCGAGGCTTTAGCTCCACGGCACACACAAGGCTGCAGTTTTGAAGAGGAGCAAGCTGCAGGATCGGGCAGTCCAAGGGCCTGTCTCTACTCCAGGGAGAGTGAGCTGCAGCAAGCTTGGTTGGTGGCACAGGGAGGGGAGGGAGCCTCTGCCAGGAACACTTGAGAGAGTGGGGACTGGGGGTCTCTGCCACAGCACAGGCACAGTGTGCATGGTTTCCATGTGTGCCTGCATGAGGGGCTTTGCTGGCACACTGCAGTATTGTTCCTCAGTGATGCTCAGGGATGATGAAGCAGGAACAGCAACCTCTGAAGTAGCACAGCCTCAGCCCTGCTCCCTGGACAAGCTGGATCTCAGAGCCAGGAGCTCAGCCAGCACCTACTGGTCCTGTGAAGCCACTCTTTTGTCTCCCAGGTCCGCTCCAGCTCCAGAGGCTGCATCCTCAGCCCTGTGGCAAGGAGAACATCAGACTGAGAGTGGAGGGGCAGTTTCCACCTGGGCTTGTGGGGAGAAAGGGGCCATGTCACCCACATTTCCAGAGCTTCAGTCCTGGCTGACCATTAAGCATAACAGAGCCCTCATGTCACAAACTGAGGAGGAGGAGGAGGAGGAGGAAGCAGGAGCGTCCAGGTGAACATGGCTGATCAGGAGCCACTGGACACAGAAAGCATGGAAGAAAGGTGACACTGTGTCCCTGTGCTCAGTGACTTCAGGTGAAGGATAAGGCTGAGCTGAGTACCAAGCGGGGCTGAGGGGAAGGAAAAGCAGAGCTTGTGGAAAGGAGCCAAGAACAGAAACTCAGTGAAACCCAGGGCATGGCACTGCCAACCACTCCTGCCCCGTGGGGAGTGGGGCCCCAGTGAGCAGCCTGCATGAATGAAGATTGTTTTAGGGGAGGGCTCTGGGAGAGCCTCAGGGACACCTTCCCCTTCGGCTGCCCCCAGCTTACCCAGCTGCTGACTCAGAGAGCTCCTGCCAGCACAGAGCGCCTTTCCCCGTGTCCCCAGCAGGAGTGGCCACCACGCAAATCCCCCTGGGGGCTGCATTTGATTTTAGTGCCAAGGAGAAAGTGTCACGTGGCGGGGGGCTGGCGAGGACCCACCAGAGGCTGGGAATGTTGTCACCCGGAGGAGCCCCATTTGCCGCTGCCTCTCACTGCCTGGTCCTTACCACATTTTGCCATCCACAAACAGAGGCAGCTGCAACGTGAGAGCGAAGGCGGGAGGTTGCCCGGCGCGGGGTGTCTCCTGCCCAGCCACTGCTCATTGGCTCTTGCCCCTGTCCCACGCTTGGCCTTTGGCAGGCTAAGGGTACCTTCAAACCCTGTCCCCTCCTGACCGCTGGCCCAATGACATTACTCGCTCGCTGTTGTTTTGAAAGGACATTTGCAAGCTTTTCCTGTTATATTTTACCTTGGTAACATTATCCCCAGCCCCTCTGGGCTTAGCATCGAGTTGCTGCAGCACAGGCTCAGTGTCATGGGGCACTCCAGCTCAGCCTGGGCTGGCAGGCAAGGGTGGGCGCAGGGGCTTATTTCAACTCAACTGTGGCTGACACCTCTATGAGTACATAAACACAGAGAGCAGCAGAAGCCAGAGCTCTGGCAGCTCCCCTGCTCACAGAGCTCAGGGTCTGCTTCAGGAGGAAAGCTGTGAGCACATGGCAAAGCTGCCCGGTCGCCCTGTGAGCAGAGCAGGACGTGTGCACAGGGAATATGATGTCCCATTCACACCATAGCACTCAAGTGCTGTGGATCAGACACCATCTCCACCCACCGCGGGTGTTTCTGAGGCTGCCACATGACTGATTCTAAGGAGGTGGAGACAACACCAGTTATAACATCTTGTCCTCCTTCGCCTCTCTCCTGGTGCTTTCGAAGCTCTTTTTATGAGTGTTATTCAACCAGCCCTCCCAGAAGTTCCAGGGCACAGGGAAGTGATGTTATCTCCATTCTGTGGGTGAAAAAAACCCAAAAGGCACAGAAAAAACACCTGGACTGTGCAAAAATGCAGAGCAGTCAGGAGCTGAAGTTGGGCATGTTAACATAAGCCTGCAGCCACGTGAGCAACTGTACTTCGTCCTCCAGAATCCCACTGAAACCTAGAAGCAGTGGTAAGTCCACTCTTCCAAGATGCCCCCATTTCACTCCATCTCTGCTGTCCTCTGTCCCCCTCTCTGCACAAGGGCAGCCTGACCCCCAGTGTCCCATCCAGTTTTGGTCACAGGGCTGGAAGAAGCCCTAACCCATCTCTATCCAGAGGAAAAATGGAGCAGCACAGTCTGGGCTTTGCTTTCCACACACTTTTCAGTGCCTGGGGGCTGCCTGGGAGAGCTGCATCCTGTGGGTGGCTGCTGCTAGGGTGCGACTGCTGGGGACTGGGAACCTCCTTGGGTTAGAAAGCAAGGGGAGAGAAACTGTGCCTGCACAAAGACCAGAAGGAAAAAGGTATTTCTGAAACACACAGCTACGCATAACTTGATTTTAGAATGAACATTCACAAGCAGTTCCCATGGACTTCTTTAGTGCTGAGGCCTTCCAGTTCTTCTTTTTCCCCTGATGGGGCAAACATCCCTCCAGTTCTTAGCTCATCTTCATCACTCTGTAACCTTCATCACTTGCATATTCTGCAAAGGAGGGATGGGGGAATGCACATTTGATCAGGTCAGCAGAGTCAACTGGGAATTTGAGTCTTAACCTGCATGGAACTGCACGTGCCCTAGAGCAAGCCAATTTCCTTGCCTGGCCCTTCTGTGCCAGCACTGTCTGTGCTGTGTCTGCTGTGAGCTGCAGCTGTGAATCCTGGAAGTGCATTTCTGGGCCCAAACCTCCCACCCATGGGAATAGAATTTTCATTGCTGGCAGGGCAGCTGGAAAAGCACCTTGGGTAACTTTTTGGCACTTCGTAACAGTAATTAGTAATAGAGTGCACAGCAATGAGGAAGAGTTCATCCCATTCCAGCAGCCAAACCACCCTGGCCCCCAGCTCTCACCAGTATGACATAACACAACGCTGTTTGTGGACATCTCCCTTTGGTGCAAGGCTTGGGATCATCAGGGAAAACCCAGTGCTGTTACACTGCATGGTGTTCACAGCATGTTGTGAACCAAAGGGAGGCCAGAGGGAATTAAAGACTGCCTGGAAACAGCTCTGCCTTTGGGACAACAGCAAGGTGAGAACATGGACAGGCAGTGGGCCTTTCCTGCCAGAGGAAGAAGCGCTGTCTGTTCACCTTCCAGAGCCTGATGCAGAACTCCCCACCCAGATCCCTCCACTTCCTTTTGCTCCATCAGCTCTTTACAGTGACCCTGCAGGCCTGTCTGGACTGTCTGAGGGGATTCAAGGATTGGAGCCATTAAGCTGCAGGTGTTGCCACTCAGTTGTGTATCAGCTAATTCAGGCTGCAGTGCCAAGACCTGCTCTTTCCCACATAATTGCTACGGGTAAGTAAATAGAACATTCATGAGATTTTTGGTCCCGTCATTAATTATTTCTGAAAGGGCTTTTAGTATACGCCTCAAAACCCCAGACAGAAAGATGACGTGCGTGACATCAAGATGCTCGCAGCAGCAGCAGGATGAGCACTGAGATGGAAACATGGGAAATCTGAAGATCTTTCTCTCCTTGTTACTCTTTTTGCTCTCAGTCACCTGGCCCCACTTCAGTGCAGACTCACCAAGCCTGGAAGTGACCTTCAGCCCAACATGTTGCTCTCAGGGTTTATGTATCTCAACACGAGGTGACCTGGGGACTGTTGAGAGGTGCCTGGTGGTGCCAGGAGCCCACACTTTTAAGAGGTGGTACCTTAAAGGTGTGCACAGGGGTGCTTAAATTGGGTTTCCTGGGTGGATGTGTGTCCCTGGGAAAGGTGCTTGTGTCCCATGTGTGGCTGCAATCCCCTCAGGGCACTCTGCAACTGGAGATGTGTATCCACCCAACCCACTAAGCCTGGATGTGACCCTCAGCCCAACACTCAGACTGGGTATTAAACTCGGGGTTTATATATCTCAATATGAGGAGATCTGAGAAGGGTGACTCCACTTTTAAGGTGTGCATAGCATTGCCTCAAGTGGGTTCCCTGGGGAAGTGTGTGTCCCTGGGGAAGGTGGTTGCATCCCATCTATGTCTGCAAGAACCATGGGGCACTCTGCAACCTTGGGTGAACTCTCAGAGAGCCCGGATGTGACACCCCAGTGTGACACACTGCACCCAGCATCATATATCTCAACTTGGGAGTGACCCTGGGGCCACGGAGTGGCACCTGGTGATACTGGGCAGCCCCTGGGTATCCCCAGTTTTAAGGGCTGCCACTTCTAAGGAGTGTGTTTGGCATTGCCTAAAGTGAGTTCTCTGGATGGGTGTCTGTCCCTGGGGAAGGTGCTCGAGCCCCACGTGTGTCTGCAAGAGCCACGCATCACTCTGCAACCGTGGGAGAACCCAGACGCAGGGTGTGACCCCTCCCGTCTGGCACGCTGCACCCTGGTGATGCTGGCAGCCCCTGGGTCCCTCCGCTTCCAAGGGCTGGCACTCTAAGGTGTGCATGGCATCGCTTACAGTGGGTTCCCTGCGTGTGCGTGTGCGTGTGTGTGTCCCTGGGGAAGCCTGGATGAGACCCTCCCAGCCTGGCACGCTGCACCCATCGCTTACATATCTCTCAACTCGGGAGTGACCCGGAGAGCGCGGAGCGGCGCCCGCTCGTGCTGGGCACCCCCGCTTTCGAGCGCCGGCGCTTCCAAGGGACACCCACGCACAGAGCGGTGCTCGGAGCGGGTGCGCGCCCCGCGGGAGGGTGCTAGTGCCCCACGCGTGTGCGCAAACCCCACGGGGCGCTCAGCAGCCCGCTCCCCGGCGCTGCCCTCCCCGTGCCCGGCTCCCGCAGCCGGCGGGCGGGGGCTGCGGGCGCTCCGCCCCGGCGCTCCCCGCCCCGCCGGCCGCCCGGCTCCCGCCGCCGCGCCTGCTGCATGCTCGGTGCCGCCTCAGCCCCAGCCGGAGGTGGTGGAAGATGGCGGAGCCGGGGCCGGATTGCAGCTCTCTGCTCGATGAGGATCTTTCCTCCTTCGTCTTCAGTTACCTCGCTGACAGCCAGGTAGGGAGAGCGCGGAGGGGGCTCTGCTGGACGGGTCCCCAGCGCGCTGCAACTGGACGGGGTGTGGGGAGGGGGAAGCCGGCAGGCCCCCCCCCACCACACACACACCCCGTCTCTTCCCGGGCACCTGGGGGAAGAGCTGGTTCTGCAGGAGCGGGGGATGCGGGGAATGGCTCTTCCGCGGGGTGCCCCGTGGGTCTGCGGGGGTCCCACCCGCGGTTCCCTGCGCGCCCCTCCCCGCGGCTTTCCCCGCAGCCCCGCCGGCGCTTTCAGCACCACTCGCACGTGGACTCCCGCCCCCTCCCCCAGCCACCCGCCACCCCCGCCATCTGCAGGGAATTTGGGGGTGAAGGGGAAGAAGTCGATGGGTTGATAGGGTTCGGCACAGACAGCCGCCCCCGTTTGTTACAGCCCCCCAAAGGTGGGGAGGGGGTGGCGCGGTGCAGGCGGCGGGGGTGGGGGGGGCTCCGCAGGGGGCTGCGCGGTGGGGGTTTGATAAGAGCCGGGCTGTGGGATGAGTCATTCCAAGCGTCAATTCCACGCATACGGGCTGGGATCTTGGGGGATGGAGGTTTGGGGAGGGGGGTTGTGCGACAGGGAGAGGGGTCTCGGTGCTGCGAGTCACCCGCTCCATAATGTGGATGGGTTGTCTTTTGGACGGAGCTGGGTATTAAAATCAGATTAAGGCTCCTTGGCAGCGCCGGCGGGATCACGAGAGCGAGCCGTGCTGGCTATAGGGCTCGCATGCTTTTCCATTTTGGGGGCTGGAAGAGAGGCGCTATACAATAAACTGGGCAGGAGCCGGAGCCGTGACTGATCCGGAGCACTGCCGCGCATTTTGCAGCCCGATTGATGAGGCTGGTGCAAGTGGGAAGAGTTTTCTGTAGTTATATGTCATCCCTCGACCCTTCACTTTCATAACCACGGATTACAAAATAGCTCCGATTGTGAAGCGAGCACATTCATCCCAACCCTTGCTCTCTCGCCAGTTTAGCTCCGGGATTGCAAACAGTGTGTGTGTAGGGAACGGGACGAGGACTAATCCTACCGTTTGGGTTCAAAACAAACAAGGTCTCAAGACTTGGTAAATCAGATTTGCCCCCGGTGCATGTGCCAGACAGAACCAGGCAGGTCTTGCCACCAGCCAGATTGATGTAGTCCCGGCACCTCTCCTCGCATGCACCAGCTCCAGAGCGCTCCGGCTTGGCACGGGACCCGGGCGGCTTGCTGGGGGCAGATCAGGGGGGAGGCGGCAGGTTGGCTTGTTAACGAAGAGCTGCTAACAGGTTGATTACAGCAGAAGGGTCAGGAAGGGTGAGAAGTGGGCCGAGAAGATTTTGTAAGCTGTGTTTTCTAGTTTGATTTGGTTTATTATTGCTGAGGGAGCCGTCGACTTAGAGGAGAGGAGGCTGGTGGTGTGGGATGCTGTCCCTAGGAGGAGGCTGGTTGTGAGGGATGCCATCCCTCGGAAGTACGGCAGAAAGGCTGCAGCTCCCACCAGCCCTATTGCTCCCTGGGCAGGTGAAAGTTCCTGGCTCCACTTCCCTGCAATAATCCTCCTGTTCTCTGCATGCTTTCCGTGAAAAGCCCGTATGATTGCAGCACGCATCTGAAGCCGTGCTTCTCTTTGTTTTTTTTTTGCTTTTTGGTCAGCATTTGATGTGCCAATTTAGGAATCGTCTTCCAAAAAGAGACTGCTAGCGGGGGGAAAAAAATTCTGTGAATTGTCATCGTTCTCTGGCACAAACCCACCATGTTGTGAACATTCCCTGCAAAATTTGGGACTGTGAAATGGCCTGTGCTGAAATAAGACTGTGTTTATGGCAGCTCCTGAAATGCGGTTTGCTATGTCCCCTGGTTTTTTCCCTCTACCCTACATGCACTCTGATGGAGGGAGCTGTGCAGGGAGGTGCACAGGTAGTGCTGGTCTGAAATCTGCAGGTGCAGAAAGTGTTGGAGCAGCGAGAGGACCGTGCAGCCTGTGCGTGCTCTCCCGTCCGGCGCCTGCTTTCGATAATTCCATTTCCTCTCTGTCCCCACGTGCGCAGAGGGGCTCAAGTCTGGGATGAAAAGAATAGAGAAAAAGGAAGGAAAAAAGCCCCCCCCCCCGCTATGATTTGCATGCATTTGCTTAAGAACCGCCTGAAGTTGTAAGCATGTGTTGTGCTTGTACCTTAACCTCTGATGAAACTGCGGGGAAGGCTCCAGCCCTGGCTCTGTCACATGCTGCCTTCTAACTGGGAGCGGGAGGCGGGCCGGGCTGGCGCTGACGTCTCTCCCCATTACTAGTGTACAAGCCTCTGCTTACAACTGGGTTACTGACTTCTCATTGGAGCCCAAAAACTGCTTCTGCAAAGACCCCAGGGCTCCAGCACGAGATCAGATTATCCACAGAGGCTACAGTGTCAGGAGGCCATGAGATCACAAATATTAGCCATTTCCTTTGTGGAAATTTTGAGGAACTCTGACTCTCCCCCTCTCTCTGCCCCGTGCTCCTCCCCAGTCCTCACTTTTGGAGTAGGTTTCGAGAAAGGCACAGTTGGGTGCATGCGGGTGCCAGGTGGTCCATTCCTCTCCATGGGAGGAATCCTGAGGAAGGCTCTTGGGGAGATGCACGGTGAAGGTTTGACATGGATATTTGCATTAGTCCCTTAATCATAAGGTTTTGAGCTGAGGGTGCCTGCTAACCTCTATTTACATATTGAGGACAGCGATGATTCACGTGGTACCTGCATTGCTACAGAAAGAAAATCAGGGTTTTTCACTTGATATGTGCCTTTCCCTGGTCAACTCCTTTTCCCTTTTTCATCGCAACAAAAAAAAGTGGTTTTGCACTCAAAACGTGTCATTTCTGGGCCTGCTTAATCCATTTTGTGCAACTCTGCTGCTCAGAGGTGGGAAGCTGGTTGTAGCTGGTTCGTCTGCTGGCACCAGGCTCTGGGAAGTGCCAGCCAGGCAGCTCTGCCGAAGAGCACCACGGAGCGGCCAGCAGCTCTCAGCATCCCTGCAAGAGGCAGGAACACTGTGACTCTTACAGCTTCAATTTGTTTAAAAACCCCAAACTGCAGCAGGGGAGAAAAGAATTAAAAAAAACCCCAGCCTGCTTCTCTGAGAGATGCTTAAAGATCACATGAAACTGAAACACAGTATTCCCTCTTTTAACTTCCCAGTCTCCTACTAACAGCTTAATCCATCGATGAGTGCAGGAGGCACAGCGAGCCCTCGGTGGGTTGGCACTGTTAGTAATGAAGTAGGGATGCATCCCTAATTTCTGATAGTCCTCACTGAGCAGACCAATATCCTGCTTTCTCTCTGAAAGATTTGGGGAGGGGAGGTGTTTGGATGACTGATATCCCCCAAGGGCCTGTGCAGAATGTATCCTCAGCCTGGCTGCATTGCTGCAGCCTGGATCCAAGGGCTGCTGCATTGCCGGGGCTGGAGACCCCTCGCTCCCTGGGAAGGGGTGGCTGTGTCCCGGTGGCTGTCACCGACGGAGGCCGTGCTGGTGGAGCAGGAGCGGCGGGTGCTGGGGATGCCGGTGGCCATCCCCGCTGCAGCGGAGGCTGCGGAGGCTGGCGAGCACAGCCTGCTGCTGATCCTGCCGCTCGGAGCCGGGAGAGAGCAGCCGCTGGGAGCAGCTGAGAGGGAAGGCAGGGCTGGCCTGAGATCTGCTCCCTCGGAGAGCCCCTCTGCCCACCTGCCTGCACACCCTGCTTGTGAGTGGTGTCCCAGGGGTGCCCCACAGCGTGGGCTTTCCTCCCGCCTGCCTGCACATCCCTGCCCCGGTCTCATGCCGTAATGGAAAGGCACCTCTCCAACAGGTGAATAATTAAGGTCTCAACCTAAGGCCTCCAGCAAAGGGAGCTTTGTGAGAGAGAGGGATCTCTCTCCCATTAACCTTTCCAATGTCAAAAGCCTCTTTGTAGTTAGAAACTCCACTTGCACCAGCTTATCAGCACGGTTGGGTTGTCCAGTGAAAAATGCCTGAGGGATGCCGCTTTCAGCCCCAAACCTCTGGTTTTGAGGAGTGGGTCTCATGGTCCCTGGTGCAGGGCTGGGAACAGGGATGCCACAGGCTGGCTCTTGGCAGATGGTTGGCTGTGCAGCCAGGCACTGCTGCCCACTGGTCCTGGGGCAGGAGCCCACCAGGCTCTGAGATCCCCTTTAGTGGGACTAGGGAACTGGCAGAGCATGGGAGCTGTAATCCTGTAGTGACAGGATCACGAAGGAGGGATTTAAACTGAAAGAGAGTAGGTTTAGATTGGATGTTTGGAAGAAGTTCTTCCCTGTGGGGGTGGTAAGGCCCTGGCACAGGTTGTCCAGGGAAGCTGTGGCTGCCCCATCCCTGGAAGTGTTCAAAGCCAGGTTGGAAGGGGCTCGGAGCAACCTGATCTAGTGGAAGGTGTCCCTGCCAGGTCGATGATCTTTAACCTCCCTCCCAACCCAGACCATTCTGTGATTCTATGAAGGGCACAATTCCCCCTGGCTGGCATGTGCCAGCACTATGAAGGCTTGGAGACATCATATAGCCGGGGCAGAGGCATTGTGGGTGTCTGTGCTATTGCTGCCCAGTGCCTGCAGGGCAGATGCCACCACTGAAGGCACAAGTGCCCATGGCCTCAGGGAGACAGTGTCACCAAATCGAGGGGCAGCACCCCTGCAGGGCTCTCAGAGCTCGACCACCCTGTGGGGCTCTGCAGCACTGGCTCTGTCGGAGGAGGGAAGCGCTGTCCCCAGAGATAGATAAGGCTCCACCGGGGCCACGCACGTGGCACTCGCTCGCTGCCACCGAGGAGCCGGGACACGAGGTGCTGGCAGGGCCTCGGCCACAAACACGTCTGCCGGAGGAATCGGCTCCGGTCTCCCGCAGCTGAGCCCCGCTCCATGGCAACCCCGCGCGGGCTTATATTTCTCGTGACTGCTTGGCAGCCTGGAGTGATTTAGCAGGGGGGGAACTTTGTACGCGCTGGAGGCGCCGCCAGCGTGGTCGTGCCGGGCTG